CCCAGAGCCCCGCCCTGCAGCACCACGCTGCGGCTGCCCTGGAGGAAAAAAAAAATCACACCCCATTTCGCTGCTCCTGTCCCCAGGGGCTCTGCTGGCGCGCTCCGTGTTAGCTCTGGCTCCGCTTTTCTCGGTGGCACTTAAAAGGAACCTGCCTGTTTAAAGGATTCTATGGGGTGATTTCGAAATAAATAATACAGACTCTGCAGAGCGCAGCCAAGTAGCATTCTAATGGCTGTTACATGCATTCACCCTTCAGCCCTGAGATATATAAAGGATGGCTCTGTGGTGTACACTGGCTGTCCTGTCGGAAGGGAATTGCATAAAAAGGTGCATTCTACATCAGGGAAAAAAGGGTTGAATGGAATGGGAGTGGTTACGTAAAGGTCTGGATTCAGTGTGTAATATTAATTATGCGACAACCTTTTTAGGGATTATTGAGTCAGTTAATGGTCCGGCAAGAGCAGATAATTATCTTTTGTATAGTGGTTTTTGTTGGATGTGCAAATAGTTATTTTTAAAGTTGCGCTTATCTCTCAGCCTTTGAATTCCCTCTTCTGGTCTCAGATTAAAATACTTTAGTTTCTGTTCAGTAAAATGTTAAAATCAATTACATTTGATTAGCATGAATACAGTTACTGAAAAAGAGAACTCCATATATATGACACATAAAATGAGAAAATACACACCCCATTAAACCTTTTTTTAAATAAAAGGAACAACACTCAAGAAAACATTTTGGGCCTGCTCACACAGGCCAGTCATGGGTGTTGTACTGCAGTGTGGATGTATTCTTAGCCATTTTTGAAAATCCCATTCCAGAAGCTTAGTTCTGTCCTTAGTTATATGGTTATAACTTCTATGGGTGTAACAGAAGATGGAACTGGACCCTATCTGGCACCCTTGAAGACAGTGTCAACAGAGAAGTCCAGGGCATAGGTGTTGTATCACCTAAGCTATGTCTACACTGCAGCTACTCTGCGTCTTTTGAGTGTGCCCGTTATTTCGAAATACAGTATAACAGACTTGCTATTCTGACGTCCTTGTGGAATGAGGTTTTTACAGGGAGTAAGGAACATTTTGGAATAGTGATTTATTTTGAAATAAGTGCTATGTAGACAGCGCCAAATTTTGAAATAAGTTATTTTGAAATTGACTTGAAATAAGCTATGCAATTTGCATCGCTCAAATTGTGTAGCTTGTTTCAAGGTCCGAGTGCAGTGTAAACGCACCCCTGTTGACCACAATGGTGCTCCCTGCGGATTGTGCTTGAGGCATAATTGGTGCAACAAAATGGGAAGGCTGCCTTAAAAGAATTCTGATCACCACAATTGTTTTCTTTCTTTCTTTCATAAGGTCACTTGCCCTGGTGTGTTCCTGCCAGAGAAACATGACATTTACCTCAGTGTCTGCATCCTGGGCCAATACAAGGAGACAGAATGCCTTCCTCCAATTTTCCCGCTCTTATTTCATGAAAAGATGTGGTTTGAAAAGGTGATTCTTACTTTTTATGTGCTTTGACAAACAATTCTGTATAATCCCAGAAACGACATTAGTTGTGTTAGCTCTCCTGCTTGGGATTTGTTTGGTTGTGATCCCATTTCTGTGGAAACAAAATAACACCTCCATGAGGGGATGACTATCATCTGATTTTCATGATACTGGCAGGCACAGAATTAAGATAATGACTCAGATAAAATGCTTTAACCAGCATTTTACATACCATTTTAAAATTTAAACTAACCAAGAACACATGCCTTCAGCCTGAATTTCTTTGGGAGTATTTGGTTTGGCTAACCTAAAATGTTTATAAAATAAATACTCTCTCTGCTCATTGGCTATGATATTGATGAATGGTAATTTATACTTTGTCATGGTTTTTAAAAATGGGTTTAGCACATTTTGGTGTTGTCCATAGTGACAAAAAAGTTATGTTGAAACTGCTATGGGTATCATTATTTTAATATATAAGTAGACAGTTTTTAAGAGTACAGAGCAGAATGTCTCTAACTGTGCTCTGTCAGGAGAATCCTTGCTTTTTGCAAACAGCTTTCTATGTCTCTGTTTTCATAAATAACTCTTTTCACGTGTCTCATAAGATTCCACTTTGTAATGCAGGGGTTTTCAAACTACGGGTCGTGACCCAGTACTGGGTTGTAGAATGTCAGACACTGGGTCTCCTTGCTGCAGGATGATCAGGTGACCAGTGGGAGTGCTAAGGCAGACTACTTGTCTGTCTTGTCACTGCAGACTGCACTGAGCCCCAGAAACAGCTGGCAACAGGCCCGGCGTCTAGGCGAGGTGTGGGAGTTGAGGGGAGCACACAGGGCTCCATGCACTGCCCCTGCCCGAGCACTAACTCCGCACTCCCTTTGGCTAGGAACCTGCTTCTGGGGTGCAGCATGCTCTGTGGTGCCAGGAGAGGCAGGAAGCTTCCCTTAGTGCCCTTGCTGCACCGCTGACTGGGAACTGCTCAAGGGAAAGCCCCTCCTGCCACAGTCTTGCCACCCCCAAAGCCAGAACTCCCGGCTATGCCCCAAATCTCTGATCCTCAGCCCCACCCTGGAGCCCACACTCTCGGCAAATTATGTTGGGTTGAGGGCATCAACAATTTTCTTCTACTACTGGGTCATGTGAAAAAAAGTTTGAAATTCATTGGGCTAGATGATCTCTTGAGTTCCCACCCAGTCCTACATTTCTGTGGTTTTGTGAAAATCAGCAAAAAATTATTTAAGGCTTGGTTAAAAGATGACTTAGTGGAGATATGGGCTACGTCTAGATGACAGGCTTCTTTCGGAAGAAGCTTTTTTTGGAAGAGATCTCCCGAAAAATCTTCTTCCGAAAGAGAGCATCCCCATTTGCAAAGTGCATCGAAAAAGCAATCTGCTTTTTCGAAAGAGAGCATCCGGACTGAATTGATACTTTCTCAAACGTAAGCTGTGATTGCTATGGACAGAATGGCCACCAAGGCACCTGTGCTTTTCCTCTTTCTTCTTCTTCTGAAAGAACTCCCTCTTCCCCGTCCACATACGCCTTTTTGCGAAAGAGCTCTTTTGCAAAAAGGCTTCTTCCTCATAGAATGAGGATTACCAATGCCGAAAACCCCCTTTGTTCTTTCGATTTTCTTGCAGAAGAATGCAATTGCAGTGTGGATGTTTCTCAAGTTTTGTCGGAAAAATGGCCGTTTTTCCAACAAAACTCTGTAGTGTAGACATACCCATTGCTGATCACAGCTACTTGAAAGCGTTAAAATACTAAGGCTACGTCTACACTGGCATGATTTTCCGGAAATGCTTCTAACGGAAAAATTTTCCATTAAAAGCATTTTCGGAAAAGCGCGTCTAGATTGGCACGGACGCTTTTCCGCAAAAGCACTTTTTGCAGAAAAGCGTCCGTGCTAATCTAGATGCGGTTTTGCGCAAAAAAGCCCCGATGGCCATTTTAGCCATTTAGCAAATGATTTGTGCAAGAGGGCTTTTGCCCGAACGGGAGCAGCACAGTATTTCCGCAAGAACACTGACGATCTTACATGAGATCGTCTGTGTTCTTGCGGAAATTCAAGCGGCCAGTGTAGACAGCTGGCAAGTTTTTCCACAAAAGCAGACACAGCCTAAGAGTTAAATCCTAGCCCTATTAAAGTCAATGGCAAAACTCACATTGACTTCAAAGGGGTCAAATTTCACCCCGGGAGGCAAAGGAATCTCTTTTAGGGTGGACCAGGAAATTGTGTCTAGGAGCAATGGGGTGAAATTAAGCAAAGTAAAATGTATTTATATTTATTTAACGTTCATAATTATATTTTGATTTTATGTACAGTCTGTATATAAAAAATGGAAATTACATAATAACAAATAGGATTGTCATCTCAACCCTCTGAACTCCTCGCTTGTCTATATAGGGTTTGTCCTATGCTTCAGGATGATGACAGCCAGGGCATTGATTATTCTTTGTGGGTCGAGGCCCTGGGTTTAATCAAGAATCCTGTATTTTCAAAACAACTGTGCCACATCCACTGTTTCTTCTACTAGTAGTACTATACTAATGTCAGCGTACCAGGGGGAGATTTCCTGAAAAACCCTTTAGACTCACTTCTGAATCTGACTCAGAGGCTGCAGCGCATGAAATTTTTAGGTTTACATAACTAATATTTTCAAGACTTTTTAAACAAATTGTTACAATATTTTACAGTTGACCTTAGTAAACTGTAGCAGTCAGTAAAATATATAGTATTTCCCCAGATTGGTTAATTTGTTTGCTTGGTTAATGACAACATAGTCTGACATAGGGAAATACTTGTTGACTATATAAGCATGTTCATATGAATGCCAGATTATAAAAATGCCCTTTGTATTATAAAGAATTAATATTCTCCGCATTACTTTCCTGTAGGTATTTGATAGTGCTGTTGACCCTGCTGCTGTAACAGAGATGCTTGAAAGTAAGTATAATTGAGAGAATATTCAGAATGCATGAATAACTCTAGACAGTGTAGTTGCTCCAGATCCATTCATCCATCCATCTTTATTTTTTATTGTTGTGCTACAGGAGTATTTTAAATACATTATAATTTTTCAGCTACCTTGACATTATTTATTTGTCTTCTTTTAGGCAATCTAACAACATTTGGATTAATTCAACTAGTATCTTCAGGTAATGGGCTGGTAAATATTTTACAAAATTGTGTCCAATTAGACATTGAAAGGAGCATCCCAGTGGGTATTAATTTTGAGCTTTGCTTTGCCTTTCTTCCTATCTCCCATCTCATCTTCCAGGGGGCTTCAACTAACAGCTGTCCCAACCTCAACTCTGCATGAACTGCTTGATTGTTAGAAATATTCAGATTGCTTTACTTTCCCTCCATTCTCGATTTTTTTCTTCTCTGTTGCCATTATTGTTCATCACTGATATTTAAATATAACATGAATAATAATAATTTAGAGTTCCATTTAATAGATAAAGAGCATTGGTTCTATAACATTTTTAATGGTTTTTATAAGTGGACACAAGGTGGCAGAATAATCCTACTTTTTAAGTCTCAAAGGGGAAGCCGTGTTAGTCTGTAACTTCAAGACAGACCCAAAAGAGAAAATAACAGAACTCCTCTTGTTGTAACCTACAGTCCACAACTCAGACCCCTCCGAAGTATTATACACAATCTACAACGCATTTTGGAAAATGATCCCTCACTCTCAGATGCCTTAGAAGAAAAACCTATTTTTGCTTTCAGATAACCCCCTAACCTGAAACATACTCTTTCTGATAACCATGCCATACAACCACATCATAAGCCTCCAGGAACCCAGTCCTGCAACCAAAAAAGATGCCAACTCTGCCCCCACATCTACACTGACGAATTCATCACTGGAGCAAACAACATAAGCCACAAAATCAAAGGGTCATTTGACTGAACATCTAGTAATTTGATCTACGTCATCAAATGCCAACAGTGCCCCTCTGCTATCTATATTGGTCAAACTGTACATTCTCTGTGGGAAAGAATCAATGGACACAAATCTGCAGGTGGCGGTCTTGTCACAGGCCAGCTCCTCAAGCCAAATACACAGAGAAAGCTTGGAATTACATTACATACACAAATTCAATTCACATGCGAATGGACTCAATCGTGATTTAAACTGGTGGGGACTCTACCATTGAATGTGCTAACAGCTTTCTGAGTGGTATCCTTCCTGTCTTAGCAATCTATCTGTTGACTTTGATCTTTATCTGCTTAGGTTTAGCACCCATTATCCAGATACTTAAAGAAAAAACAGGAAGGGGGGTGGGAGACAGAGCATCATTCTCTCCCCCCCCCCCCTTTTCCTTCTCCTATTTATTTTGAGTTTTCATATCCTCTACTCATAACTCCGGTCATCTGAAGAAGTGGGTTGTGCCCACGAAAGCTCGTGATACCATCTGCATGTTTTGTTAGTCTATAAAGTGCTACCAGACCATTTGTTGTTTTTTTCTTTAAAAACAATGAGTAGTCCTGTGGCACTTTAGAGACGGAGTGGGCAGTAATTTTCAAAGTGGTCACACCCCACCTTGGAAGGGCGGTGCCTCAGGTGGAAGGGGCTGGACCTTTAAATAAAAGCAAGTGAAAGGGCTTGAGCCTCCCCTGCGACTTCTGGGCAACACAGCGGGGCTGGGAGCTGAAAACTCTTTCAGTTGCTTCTATTTAAAGGGCTCGTGCCTTAGCAGCTGCTGGGAAGGCATGAGCCCTTTAAATAGAAGTAGCTGAAAGAGCTCGCAGCTCTCAGCCCACCTAACACATTGCCTGGGAGGCGCGAGTTCTTTCAAATGCTTCTATTTAAGAGCCTACCAGCAGGCGCAAGTCCTTTAAAGTATTCATGCCTCCCTAGCAGCTCCCAGGTTATGGGCTAGAGGCATGGCCAGGAGCTGGGAGCTGTTCTATTTAAAGGGCTAATGGTAATGGGTTACCTGGCATCTTTGGGGAATAGAAGCAATTGAAAGGGCGTGTGCATCTCAGGCTCCCAGGGAATTCGTTAGAGGGTGGGGCCAGGAACTGTTGTGCGGGTCGGATTGAAGAGCTAGGCAGGCCAGATCCAGTCTGCTGACAGGCTCTTACCCAGCCCTGCATTAGAGACTTACATAATTATATATATTATCATGAGCTTTCGTGGGCAAAACCCGAACCCTGAGCAGAAGTGATCTAATATGGAACATTTGTATATATGGTAAAAATCACTGGCAGTTTTCAGTGCTAAAAAATACTGCTCTGTCACTATAAAATGTTTATATTAATTTATATATATAATTTTTATATTAATCTGTATGTGTATATGTATATATCTATATATTTTACTGGTGGATTTGTTAGGAATATTCAAATTAATTTCTTTCTCCAGATTTTCTCATCTCTGTCACTATTATTGTTCATCAATAATATGGAAATATATCACAAATAATAATGTAGAGCTCTGTTTACATGATTTCACATTTCAGAGCTGAGCTGTTTTTTGTTGTACCCCTGCAAAAATATGTAGTTAGACTTTTTTTACAATGGGAAATTTGTATCTTTTCCACCAATTAAAATATGATCAAAGGGATTTTGCTCAACTTTTAAAAAATCCAAATGTAATACTTGTTAGTGAGACTAGCACTGACTCCAGTTTGTCTTGTACCAGGGTCAGCATCAGTGTAGTAATACTGACAACTGACATGTTTTATATTTTCTAGTGTAAACAAGGCCCCAAAGGGAGTTTTAAAGAGTTCTTTAAGGATCTTATTCTTTATTACCTTTTCTGAAGTTCTTTCTTTTTGACACATAGTTGTGCTAACATCAGAGCTGGAGGTCCGTATCACTTTCATAAGGACAAACTGCAGGATAGCCCTCATACTAAATTTTGAACAAAAATTGTTTATAATTTTAATTTGACATGATACATCTTTCTGTGGTTTCTCAAAGCCTTGGCACTTTCCATGAGAAGCCTGATGGCACACTTGAGCAAATGAGAAGGAGCAGCTGCTCATTAGACAGAAGTAAAGGCCAGACTTTCAAAACTCGCTTAGCACCTAGTCAGGAGCGGCCCGAGGCTGGCTGCGGAGGCTGGTGCCCTAGGCGGAAGGCGCGATCGGCGCTCCCGCCTGCACGGCTGTCAATGGCCATGACGTCATCATCTGGCGCCCGGGCTGGCGGCACCCTAGGCAACTGCCTAGTTTGTCCAGGTTCACGGGCCACCCCTGCACCTAGTAGATCCCAGTGTGGTCATTCAAAACGTTGAACACTTTGAAAATCTGACTGTTTCATTGATGTGTCTGTTTAGGAGCAAAGGTCTTTGAAAATCTGGCCTACGGCCTTTCATGAAAACCGATTGGTGATACGCTGCCTTTGGAGAAAAGTCTGATGTTTAAAGATTGTCTAAGGGTATATCTCCACAGAAGTTCAAATCCTGAGGTTGGCCCATGCCAGTTGACTTGGGCTCATAGGGCCTGGGGTAAGAGGCTGCTTAATTACAGTAAAGATGTTTGGGATTGGGCTGGAACTCAGACTCTAGGACCATTATAAGATTGGACTGAGTCTGAGTCAGGTCCATCGATGGGAGCTGGTGAAGGGGGCAGTTGCCCCAGGGCCCAGCAATTCAAAAGAGCCAGGGGCTCCTTGTTGCCACTACCACAGGGATTGGCTGGCACCCCACGGCCTTTAAATCACCACCGGAGCACCACGCGGTGTGTTCCCAGTGTCTCTCAGGGCTGGTTTTGTGATGGGGGTGAGAGGCTAGTGTGTCATGCTGAGGGCTGTCTGTCTCCAGTCCCGCCCCTTCTGCCCAAAGACCTGCCCCTTCCTGGAGTGCAGAGCTGGTCCCCCTGCCCTGTACTGTGCCCTGGGCCCTGGCAAGTCTGTTGGCCACCCCTGTTCTGAGTGTCCACATCACAATTAAATAGCCCCTTAGTATGAATCTTGTGAGCCCAAGTCAGCTGGCACAAGCTAGTCACAGGTTTCTAATTGCAGTACAGACATACCCTAATTGAATAAGGCTTTGTCCTTAAGTCTTATTATAAGTGGGCCAGGATGCTTGCCTCTGAATGTCACAGAACCCATTCAAGCAGGGGCTAGCAACTTTTGTGGCAGGTATTCAGAACCCGTCTTTAAGATAAATTTGCAGGGTTGCTACTTGAAGCCCATAACTTCATGGACTGAAATGTGCTTAACACTGCAGCAAGTTTAGTTGCTGGTTACAGGAAAGCTATGCTTCAGTTACAGTATAGCAAATGGTGCGTTACAGTCCATCTCCTCATTAGTCTCCTATGCTGTGGAAGCAATGTAATGAAGGTGAAAAACGAGTTGCTTACCAAAGTGACCCTCGTCTCTGAATATATAGCTTATATAATGCCACACTGACCCTTTCTCCTCTGCTCTGCTTCAGAGCTCAATGTCACTGACTTCTACAAATAGAGAAAAACAGGATGGTTAGAAAGGTGGGGATATTTATACTCTTAAGTCAGTAGAATTCAGGACTCAGCAGGACTCAAAAGGATTCCATGGTTGGATGGCTAGGTGTGTGACTAGGTGATGTGGCGGTAATAAGGGTGGGGGGAGAGGAGAAGGAGGAGTACATTCAAAGAACAAAAAGTTACTTTGTTAAGTATCCTCTATTGTTTTTCCTGTCTTCACTTCGCGATCAAGTAATATCTTAGGGTGTGTCTAGACGTATAGGGTTTTGTTGACAAAAGTGGACTTTTGTCGACAAAACTATACCTGCGTCTACACTACCACTGCGTCTGTCGACAGAACTCGGCAGTTTTGTTGATGGCGATAAACCTCATTCTACGAGGAATAACGCCTTTTGTCGACAGAGTTCTGTCGACAGAAGGCGCTATTGCATCTACACTGTCCTTTGCGACTACACTGTCATGTCGACAAAGCGGCTTGCTTTGTCGACAGAACTGGATCTGTCTGTAGTCTAGACGTACCCTTATAGTGGACCAACTTCTGCTGGTGAAAGGGTCAAGCTTTCGAACTCTCTTCTTTAGGCCTGGATCAGGTAACCAAGTGTTTTGAGATAAATACAAAGTGTGCCAGGTTGTTAAGCGTGAAGGGTTCACACATGCTGTAGGAGACCCTTTAAAATGAAGTGGGCAATAAAGGATTAAGTATAAAGAAACCATGGCATGTGTGTACCTCTTATGCTTAACAATCTAACCTTTTATTGCCCATTTATGCTTAACATTCTGTCCCACCTTGTATTTAGCTTAGGCGTTCTGGTTACCTGCTCCAGGCTACAAGAGTTCGGTATAACTTGAAAGCTTGTCTTTTCCACCAACAGAAGTTGGTTCAGTAAAAAATAACGCCTCACCCACCTTGTCTTTCTCAAATGCTGACACCAACATACCTATAGCAATGCAAATCACTTCATGATGGCACCTATGCTGAACAAATATAAAAATGTAAATACGCATCTGATGAAGTGGGTCTTTGCCCATGAAAGCTTATGCCCAAATAAATTCGTTAGCCTTTAAGCTGTCACAGGAATCCTTGTTGTTTTTGCAGATCCAGACTACCACGGCTACCCTTCTGATATTTGAACAATGGACATATGATTTTTATAAGCCTTCTACGCACATTTTTGATTTATTTCATTTGAATAGACAATTAATTAATTAGGTTAATTAGTAGCAGGCACCGAGTTTCAAAAAAAGTAAAGCTTTCTCTAAATACTAATGGATTATGAGATAAATCATAGTGCCATGAGGATATTGAGAAAACTCCCAGTGTATGTCAGTGGGATCAGGTTTTGCTACTGTATAGATAGACATTGACACTGAGTATATTCTGGAAGGGTTATCCTATGTAAAGGCAAAACTTTGGATGCTTTTTTCTCCAAATCACATCAGTGAGATTGATGGTGCTCAGATCTGCTAAGCTAGGGCCCTAATAAAGGAAAATCAAAGGCAGGTCTGAATTTGATGTGCTCTGCAAAGTTGCGCTGCTTTGGAACTTCCCCACAATACATATGGAATGTTTGTGTCTGGAGTTTGGGGCACAGGTGACAAACTGAGTCTTAAAGATGGCATCAAGCTCCGATGTTGCTGTGCTAAGCCTAGTCCTTCATTACCGATGGAGGAGTAAATGGACTCTCTCCCCTCTGCCTCCTTCATTTCACTTTCAAGATAGAGACATTAATCAAAAGCAGAGTAGTCAGAGCAATGGAAATGAGACTAACAAGTCATTTGATTTCAAAGCAGTTATTTTCTCACTCCCTGACATTAGAAGTATGACCTTCCTGGAGCCTTTTTCACAAATTAAAAAAAATAAGCACATAGGAGAAGAGCGTTCACTGACTATCAGTGTTTCTGTTGTTTTCATGACTCTGGCTGCTAAGGGCGAAACTGAGGGTTTGGGCGGGGCAGTATGCTAAAGAGGAGTAAGCTGCTGCTGTCCTAAAGCTACCTAAATGGATTCCCAAAGGGCTTGTGCGCCTCCTCATACAATCTCAATGCAGATCCACAGAAGATACCACCCTTTCTGATTCTCAGTGACATTCCTGCAGCATGCCTAACCCAAAACCCTCATGTAGCTCTGACTGCGTCAGTTCTCAGTTCTGAGAGGGTCTCCTGGGGTGCATCTACACAGCAGGGCTTAACTTGAAATAAGTTATGCAAATTTAGCTACTTAGCTCATTTTGAAATGACTTATTTTGAAATAGAGCACTCTTCCTCTGACTTCCCTTCCTCCTCATACAATGAGGCTGTGTCTACACTGGGCCACTTATTCCGGAAAATCAGCCGCTTTTCCGGAATAAGCTGCGAGCTGTCTATACAGGCCCTTGAATTTCCGGAAAAGCAACGATGCTCTACTGTACAAAATCAGCCGCTATTCCGGAAAAACTATTCTGCTCCTGCTCGGGCATAAGTCCTTATTCCGGAACACTGTTCCGGAAAAGGGCCAGTGTAGACAGCCCAGTAGTCTTTTCCGGAAAAAAGCCCCGATCACGAAAATGGTGATCGGGGCTCTTTTCCGGAAAAGCGCATCTACATTGGCAACAGATGCTTTTCCGGAAAAACTGAAAATGGAATAGTATTCCGTTTTAAGCATTTCCGGAAATTCATGCCAGTGTAGACACAGCCTGAGTGTTACAGGAGTTGGAGTAAGAAGTCCTCCTGCTTGACAGTATTTTGACATTATTTTGAAATAACTGCCTGCTGTGTAGACATGGACTAAGTTATTTTGACATAACGCTAGTTATTTTGAAATAATGTTGCTGTGTAGACGTACCTCTAGTGAGCCAGGTAAGTCTTGCACACTCTGCAAAGGCCTTGAGGCAGAATATGTGATTTACAAAAAAATTATTAACAACCTTGGAAATATATTTTCCTTTTTTCACTCTTTCAGTGGGGAACAGTCTCGCTTTTTATGAAGAGAATACTCGAGATTTTCTCTTCCCAGAGCCCAAGCTGACTCCTGTGTATCCTGGTGGGGTGAGAGAGTTATTAATGAAAACGTCTCCTCGTTTCCCAGTAAGTTATCTCCAAGTGGGTGTTTGGTGAAAAGAAGAAAGTGGTGGTGGGGGGGAAGGATGGGGGACCCTGGCTTATAGGCTAGTGTAACAAGGTGTGCTATTTTGTGAGGATCTCAGTTGGAGACATGAAATTGGACTACCCTTGAACAAAGACCTGCTCAAGTATTGTGTATGGCTCTATAGCCTCTTGAAAAATGTACCAGGAATCTACGAACTGAAGATTAAACCTACTAGTCAGAGGTCAGTGTAAAAATTGGGGAAAGGAACCCAGCAGCCCATCCTCAGCTGCTCTGAAAGGGTAGGGGCATTGGGTAAATTTCCAAGGTGCTCGTCATTGCTGTGCTTGAGGGCACAATCTTTCAGAGCTGTTTACAAACATGCATGCACAATCATTCACACATGTATATATATGTGCACATACACGCATCTCCAATTATCTTTTCAAGAGTGGAGTATGCCCTTGTAAATAAGTCCATTGCCTGTCTTTCTTGCTTCTCCTAGCTTTCTGAAGCAGAAACAAAAAAGGAAAACATTAACAAAATTCTCATCAGTTTCACTGAGAATGATTGTATTTTTCAGGAGAAGCAATACATTTGACCATGTTTTGTTAATTTCATTCAGTTACTGCTTGGGAGTATTCCTACAGGCTCAAGATTGCACTGGTTCACATTTAGAAAAATATTTTCATTACCATAGGAATGTAATTGTTTTTAAATTAAATTCTGAATAAATAGGTGGTTTAGGTTTGCACATACCAGGGACATTTTTCTACTTGCCATGGGCAAGTTCTGCCTAATACGGAGAAACTTTAATGGCACCATTTATACTTATAACACCTGAGTTACTGATGAACATTTAATCCAGTTTTCTTTTATGAGAATGGAATATTATAAAACAATATAATTAACATCAGCTACATGTGTAGCATTTTATCTAGTGTGTTGGGTAGGTCAAGGACAGATTGTCTAGAGATGATCATGTTAAGTATTTTTCATGTTGTGTTAGAAATTGGAATATTTTATTAGGTTGCCACAGTAATGAGAGAAGAATAATTTTTCTCTGTTAAGGTAATCAATGTTTCATGTAACAAACCTTTGAAATGGATTTAGATTAAATAGCATTTTATTAATCTCAGCTTCCTGATATCCCCTCTTATTGAGATTAAATAAAGTAAACTACCGTTGCCTTGATTGAGAGTTAAATTCCTATATACACTTACTTCATGATATTCTGTTTTTTATTCTTCCATAGTCCCGGTTTGAGTGACATCTACTTTAATTCTGCAATTCAGCAAAACAAGGATAATTATGCTCACTTATTTTCTACTAACCAACTTGCTCATGCGATATTTTTTATAGGGGACAAAGAGTCAAAACTATAATCCACTCTAAAATCCTGGTAATGTAGCTAACTCATCACTTAGAATATTAACATTATTCACAGTTGCAACAGATTCTTTTCCAGACATCATCACTGTCTCCATTTGTAAGTCTACTGCTACTGATATTCTATGGCTCCTCTTCACATCTTCCCATCTGCCTTGTAGAGCTAGTGCTGGAACTTCATAAGAAGTGTACGGATTGCAAGGATTGATTATGTAAAAATAGCCCATTGCATTTCTTTGTGCTAAGATTTCAGTGTGGGCAAAAAATAGAATGGAGCATTATATTTAATCATCTAAATTGGGATTCCATAATACCAGCTAAGATTATAGCTAATAGCTAGGCTTTGGTTAATGTTGTCTTATTAAGAGTAATTCTGTTAATTATTGTAATACATTACTGTATTCTTGATACCATATTCATCTCTTTTGTTTTCATCCTTAATTTTGTCATGTTTATAATCCATGTGATATTTTAGGCTTATCAAACTATTCCTATTTGGTGTCTGCTATGTCTGATTGTTTCTGCTAACAACATATTCATTTTTCAGTTTTAGCTAGCTTGATTTTCTGTGCTCAGACATATGCTGTTTATAATTCTCTGCAGAGTACAGTACATTTCATACTATGATTGTGACATTATTCACTGTTACACTGATGATACATACTGCTCAAGCAGTGCTCAGCTTCAGTGGCCTTCTCTCACTCCCCTTTATATTTTTGACAGGATGATTTGGTGACTTACAAAAATGGATGAGTAAACCTTTTGTGTCCTAGCAAAGCAAAAGTCAAATGTGTTCCACTGAGGCCTCCAAATTTTCAGTCACATTATCAAATTCCATGTTATAATCCTGACTCACTGAAAGTCTTAGTTCATAATTTGAGTGTATTTTTATACATCATTTGAATTTTATATTGATACTATTTGTTATGTAGCGATTCAACTTGCAGGCTGAGTCATGTGAACATTTCACTCATCTGAGCAGTGAAATAATTGCAGCTGCTAATATGATTAAGGCTTGCAGAATTGGGCCCAGAATGTGTCCTTTCGTATCTTTACTGCATTTCATGTGAGCCCTCTTCATAGGAATTTCTGTAGCCAAGTGGACTTTCTCTGAACAGAATCTTTGGATATTGAGATTTTCCTACATGCTATTGTTAGATTGCTGTAAATCCAATGGCTGTGTGTAGACTGGCAATATTTTGCGCAAAAGCAGTTGCTTTTGCGTAAAATCTTGCCAGCTGTCTACACTGGCCGCTTGAATTTGCACAAGAGCACTGACTTTGTAATGTACAAAATCAGTGCTTCTTGCGCAAATACTTTCACGCTCCCGCTCAGGGATAAGCCCTCTTGCGCAAGAATATTTGCGCAAGAGGGCCAGTATAGACAGGCACCTTAATTTTTTGTGCAAGAAAGCCCGATGGCTAAAATGGCCATTGGAGCTTTCTTGCACAAAAGTGTGTCTAGATTGGCACGGATGCTTTTGCGCAAAAGCACTTTTTGCGCAAAAGCATCCTTGCCAATCTAGATGCTCTTTTGCAGAAATACTTTTAACGGAAAAACTTTTCCATTAAAAGTATTTCCGCAAAATCATGCCAGTCTAGACATAGCCAATGAGTACACCAAATGTAGTCCTGATTTACAGCATTGTAAATGAGAGCAGCATCATGTCCACTCTGTATCTAATCCAACTGCTACCCCCCTTTAGGTATGTCTAGACTACAGGCTTTTGTCGACAGAGGCTTTGTTGATAGATACTGTCAACAAAGCTTCTGTCAACAAAGACCGTCTAAACTACAGCCAGTTCTGTCAAGAAAGCAAGCTGCTTTGTCGACATGAGAGTGTAGATGCAAAGGATAGTGTAGATGCAATAATGCCTTCTGTTGACAAAACTCTGTTGACAAAAGGCGTTGTTCCTCGTAGAATGAGGTTTACCGCCATCGACAAAACTGCCGAGTTCTGTCGACGTTATGTCGAGAGAACATGGCGGAAGTGTAGACACAGGTATAGTTTTGTCGACAAAGTCCACTTTTGTCGACAAAACCCTGTAGTCTGGACACACCCTTTGTGAGATTTTGCTTGACTGACAAGAGAAATATCAACAAGTAAACAAGCATTTTCTTATGTGTAGCTGTTCCTAGGGTTTCCCTGCAGAGATCTCTCTGTCGTAAACTCAGGCTCCATGTGCACAAAGCCTCTGTCACCTCATTCACATACTGGGGAGAGCCACATCTGCCACAGTGACTTTTTAGGAATCCAGCAGCATCTCCCTGAGGGGGTCTACCATCTGCTAATAGCGTAGAGTAACAAAAGGATCTTGCTACCACATTATAGTTTGATACTCCTAGACTGTCAGACTGTGTAATAAAGTACTTGTTGTGCCATGCTTTTACAGTCAACATGAAATATTTGGATATTTGGAGATTAAATGCAGTAAAGTTACGTTAGTGCAGCCTTATAGTTGCACAATTAAACCCTCAAATTTGGAAGTGTAAAAGTTAATTCCAAACATTCAACTTTAAATACTGTTCTGCTGTTGGAATGTGACTCCGTAAAACACCAGTTTTGTAGGATTCCAGTTTTATTGTCTTGAACTTAATGACATCTACAGTGTCCTCCCCTTGGGCAAAAATGTTAGTCATTTGTCCACTGGTACATAAGAATTCAGCTCTGTCTTTTCAACTAAAAAGTGGCTGATTCATTTGTGGGGCAGTCTCTCTTAGGTAAATTAAAGTTAAATATAGTTGCTGCTGTGGTTGTCTAAGGCATTTGTCTGCATTCTGCTTTTTCAGTTTAAGGCTGCTGTGACTGGGGTTTTTATTTTTATTCTCCTATTTTTAGTGTGTCTGACTCTCACTTGATGTTATGTCTTTTATTTTGACCCTGCTTTAATATAAATTTAAATGCCACTGGGTCCACCAGTCTGAGACAGTTAGTCAGAACTGAGATGATATAACAATTCATTTAGAATCTGAGAAGAAAACTCTAATAACTCAATACTATGGGAAGTGTCCAAGTGGACTTTTAGAAATCTAGATCTGACCATAGGGTCTGATCCAAAGCCTACTGAAATAAATTGAAAGATACCTTGATTTCAGAGGCTTTGGATTAGGCTCATACAGAACATAATTTATTGTGGAAGAATCAACATGGTTATTGTGAAAAGAACTCAGGCCACACAAATCTACCTAGAATTCTTTAATAGGAATCAACAAGCATGTGGACAAGGAGGAATCCAATGAATATAGTGTACCTAGATTGCCAGAAAGCCTGTGACAAGGTTGGTCATCAAAGGCTGTTAGGCAAAATAAGTTATCATGGGATAAGAGGGAAGGTCCTCTCATGAACTGGTAACAGGTTAAAAGATAGGAAATAAAGGGTAGGAATAACTGGTCAGTTTTCAGAATGGACAGAGGTAACTAGTGGTGTCGCCTAGAGGACTGTACTCAGCCCAATACTATTTAACATGTTTATAAATGATTTAAACAATAAGGTGGCAAAATTTGCAAATGATAAAAAACTACTCAAAAGTTTCAGAGGGGTAGCCGAGTTAGTCTATACAGGAAAAACTTAAAAAATAACAAATAGTCTGGTAGCATTTTAAAGACTAACAAAA